CTACTGCTATTGCTGTGAGGAATCATAGAAATCTTGTGTCTTCTGCCCACATTCACAAGACTATGGAGAGCTTACTTCGTGGCCTGATCCTAACAATAGCTACATTCTCCAACCCTTCCCAATTTATGACATGTCAACACTAGTTATTGTTGTTCAGCTTGACACAATAGCTTCAATAATAGATGTTTCAATATGCAACTCATTCAGTTCTCAAAATGGATTCTTTAGTCTCCATTCTGACACAGATCGAGTAGTTATTTCTTTACTGTGATGTAGTAGTAAGATGTAAGATTTGTAAACTAGCTATAGTCTATGTTGTTTCCACCAAGTAGTTTCAAATTATGGCACAGTAAGATAAACACTAGCTATAAGACAATAGATGCTATAAAAATCAATAGATGTGGGGAAGGTTAGAATAGGCAACATAGAGTAGAAAATAAGGTGGGTTTCAAAGATAGATACATGTATCAACATGTGTATATAGGTGAATGTATACCTACAGATGAATGTATACCTATGCACGTACGTATGTTCAAAGAAATTGTTTTTCCTTGAGAGATATAATTAAAAGGAACCTGGAAGAGATTTTTAAAATTATGTCATGAAGCTTATTTATGAAGCTTTATTAAAGTATAAACTTTTCTGATGTGAGTTTTCTATTTTAATGACTGGGTGCATTTCAATAGAACATTTAATATTCCACATACTACCAGATGTAATTGTCAGACTCCTTTAGTATGCCGTTGGGCAATAAAAAGTCCAAATTACTTCCTAGGACCTATAAAAATAATGTTTAGATTTAGAAATAAGGACCAGAGTAGTTTGTAATGCTATTTTGCTTTATGGAAAATGCTCTATTGATTTACATTTAAAAGCCTATCTCATTTAAAACATATTTTATCCTGACATTGTAACTATTAGAAGAATTTTAGCTGACAAACTATCTATAGACAGCACAGAAATAGGTATTAATTTGAAACTAATATGCCATTTCAAAGAGACATTTGGAATTTGTTTTATCCTATTGTTGATAATAAAAGAAGCCTGAAACAAAAAAAGCTGAATAGAGAACCACATTATTTAGATATAGTTATCTCTTAAGTTATTTCAGTTCTAAAATTGAAGCCAGAAAGTTAAGGGTGAGTCACACATAAAGATAGCTACAAATGATTGATTTTTTTTTAAATCATCTTATTCTAAACCTGATTTTCTACTTTATCAATTGGCAAATATATTGCATTGCCACTGACTACTTTCAGCTACGCAACACCTTAAAGGAATTCTTTGAGAGCTTGTAGAACTTCTCAGATTCAGCCTGTCTCATGTTCTTATCTCAAAGATCCACAGACTTACTAGTCTATAGCAATGTCCAGAGGATTTTAAAACTTGTCACTTTTGACTGTTCATTTCGATGCCATAATCAATATTTTACCAGTTACTAAGGCTTACATTTTTTTTCTTTTAAGTAACAATAAATTCTAACACATCTATGTAAAAATACATAGGTATAACAATAAATATATCTCTATAAAACTACAGATATGTTAAATGTATGCAAGTGTGTGGAAATAAAACTATGTGTTTATAATTAAAATCCCATTTTCCAATTTGAAATCCTTATTTTCCCCCATGTTTCCTCCATAATTAATGTTATGACAAGAACTTTGTTACAAATATTTTACACATTATATATAGCATTATATAACAATTTTCTCAGAGACAAATCAAAATGAACTAAAGCCAGCAAATTTAAAAGTGTGTTTTAAGCATATGTGTGCATGTACAAATAGACTCTGGTAGAGTCTGTCTGAGTTTAATCCTCCATAACTTGTGGCTGTTAGCATAAATATTATCTTTCAGTTTTTTTTTGAAAAATTGCATTTTTTATTGAAAACTACTGTAACTTGCTTTCTTACTCCATTTATCCCTAAGATTTATCCTCATTTTTATGTATAAACTGCATTTTATTTTCATTACTTATAACTATTGCATTTTATTATTTACTCTGATCAGAGGACCAATTTCAGGCTATCATAAACAAAGCAGACACAGATATTTTGTATATGTCTTTTTGTATATATGAGCTTTTAAATGGTAGATTCTATTAGCTGGTTCTAAAATTGTTTAGAAAATGCTGACAGTCACTCTCTTTAAGTGAAAGGCAAAGAAAGTTTTAGATGCTAACACAAGCAAAGGACAACTATTTTTGAAGCTTTTGTTTCTATTCTAAAACTACGAATATTTAAGGATGCTAGCACAAGTTAATGTGGGTCATGGTGAAATACTTTGAAAACTGCTGCTCTCCAGATAGAAGTAGAGATGATATCTTCATTCTCAGTAAGTACATAACATCAGAGTATTCAATGTGGTTGTATCAATGTACATCCCTATTGCCAGTATAAAGTCAGAGTAAACACTTACAAAAACTATCATCAGCTGGTCTACCATCTTTTCAGTATGTAGATGATATCATATCATGCTTTGAAACTGTGTTTCTGGCCCTCCCTGGTGGCGCAAACAGGTTAAAGCACAGCACTATGAAGCTATCTGCAGCCACTGCAGCAGGAGTTCAATCCCTGGCCAGGGAGATGACCCACATTGCTCTGCAGACCTCCTGTCCCATCTACTACTCCCCTCAGCATTGGATCTCAGTATATCTGCCTTTTCCATTCCTCATTGTGTCTGGTGAGTTCTCTCATCCCTGCACCTCTGGCCTGTATCGCAATCCTTGTATGCATGAATAAATAAATCTTATTAATTAGTTCAAATATCTTTTCATGCTTGTAAAACATCTGCCATTTCCTATTTTGTGAAATATGTATTTCCATCATTTTCTTGATACTCTAGATACTAATATTTTGTTATTTTTGTATTTTATAAATATCATGAATTTTAACTGTAATTGTACATTGAACTTCAATTTTTAGTAAACATAACTTCTTAAATTTATGTAGTCAAGAAATATCAATTTCCCTCATTGTTGGCATCTT